AAAAAAAAGCAAAGTATTTAAAAAATAAAAAAAGATCTTCTTTAAAATTAGTTTGAAAACAAATGTAAAACCTAAAAAATAATTTTGTATGAAGATTAAAACAAAATTTTAGTTTAAAGTTTACTAAATAAAATTACAATTTTTGAAAACATTTGTTATATTTATTCTCTCAAAAAAATAATTAGACCCGATTCAAAGACAAAACAGAAAATTAAATGAAAATAAATAAAAAAAAAAAAACATGTGAAAGTGAAAAGTGTACAGGAAAAATAAGGGGCTGCGAAGCAGCCCCATAAGCCCCTAGTCTTGATTTATTTTGGGAGGAAAGCTCCGTACTTTTGAAGGATGCTTGTCATTCTTAATATGTTGGAGCACCTTCAATTTCTTATGATACTGTGCAATACCTCTGGTGTGAAATAGTTGCTTCAGACGCCGTGGCACGCTGGTTGCGGCGAGGCGGGCGGGCAGAGTTCGCGAAACACGCATTGGCGCCTACAAACCTAACAGGGATACTTCACGCATTGCGCAATGCGTGAAGTATCCCTGTTAGGTTTGTAGGCGCCAGTGCGTCGCCGCTCCGCCTTGTGTTAGGCTCTAATATTTAATTTCCTGGAGTCAGCGTTTTTCAACTTATGATTTTGAAATGTTTGCTCACTCTGTATGGACTATTCCCATTTTAATTGATGAAAAAAAAATATGTTTTAAAGGAAAATATAATGTGTATTTTGTAAATATTAAGGTAGTTCCGTATCAAACTTATTAATGATTTCCAAAGCACACGAACTTCTACACAATTTCTTATAACTTCTTATAGCCAATGGCGATAAAGTGTAAAGCCCGGCGATAGGAACCATAGCCCGACTGTATACTTTTTCATAGCTTCGTATAGCCCGGCTATATGATTTGCTCCGCTTTCTACAGTCAGCTATATGATTTTCAATAGCCATCTTTAGTCGGCTATAAGAACTCCTAGGGTGTTTTGAAACGCAGCTCCTATCGCCAATTTTCACCAGGGTATTCAGATTTAGTTAATCCAATAAATTTTAATCGTTGCTGAATCGGAATTTTTTGAGACTAAAGTACTTTACAGCGCTGTGCAGAAGATTTCTATGACACGTTTTAGGAACCTTCAAAATGTCCTCTGTCTATGTTAGTCCATTAAATTATCACAAATCGTCGCTCCTCTGACGCGAGGGCGTATCTCGATTCCGACGTGAGCCATGCTCTCCGTATAACTCAATGCTCTTCGGGGGTCATGTGAGAACTGAGATACGTCTTTACGTCAGAAGAGCGACGTAATATTCGCTGGAAAATCAAGAAGTCATCCAGTATTGTAGAAGATCACTGAACATCTAGCCAAGTAAACTTGGACATCGTATCTCACTAGATCAATCTGTGCATTTGAATGATCAGCAGTAAATACCGTGTGCGTTAACAAATTGTTGGGATCGGTGTGAAGAGGGTATCCGAGTTTAAAGAAGACCGCGTCGAGACATGGCTCTCATTTAATGTGAGTGGAATCAGTTTCACTTTTTAAATCATCGACACACGCACATACTTCTCGAGAATCCCAGAACTCGCATTGTAAAACGTGAACCTCGTAGTGTTGCGATGTTGCCAACATGGCTCAAGAGAAGGCATATATTTTCTATAAAATTAAGGGCTCTGAATGGATTGATTTAGTGTCCACGTCATTCAATACATCGCCATTGAATTGTGCAGCCCTTTTAAGAAGCGCGAGGAAATTATCGATATCGGAACAGCCCATTTACTCTGCGTGGAAATGTAAATCAATGTAATCAAATGTATCGAATATCGAATAACGTAGTCGTTCCTCCTGACGCAAAGGCGTATCTCAATTTCTACGTGAGCCCTGTTTTACATTTGAATCCATGCTTTCAGGGGTTCATGCGGAAATTCAGGTATGTCCTTACGTCAGAGGGGCAACGAGAAAGGGGGGGGGGGCACTTGAAAAGTAAAAAAATGACCACTCAAAATTCCATCGAAAGTCAGCGGCAGATAGAGGTTTTTAAGGCCCTGCATTTAGATCTCTTTTGCGGAATGCACACGGAAAGAAATTAAATGTTGATTCAGCATTTATACTGCTGTTAAAAAGATGTCCGACAAGTTTCAAATGCTGATTTTACATTTTAACAAATGCTAACGTAACTACGCCCACTGCAAAACGTACAAATTAAAATGTTATGTTAGCATTTTTGTATTGTAAAATCAGCATTTGAAACTTGTCGGACATCTTTTGAACAGTATGAATGCTAAATCAACATTTAATTTTTTGCCGTGCACTTTCCAAGAGCAATATACACAACGCAAATCTTTTGAAATAAACCCTCTACCTGCTGCAGGTCAAGTTATACAGTCGAAAAAAAAATTGTATCCGTTTATGGTAGCTGTTGGGCAGACAATCTGCTTTGGACCAACTTCCGAGTTCCAAACTTAAAGTCCATCCATTTCCAAAGCAGATAGGTTTTTTCTCCTATAATCATTCAGAGTTTCACAAAATTAGCACGGCATATGAATTGTGAACTTCGCAATAATAACTTAAGAATAGAAATTCAACACCTGATATGCGTCATCAGATTTTTCTCCAGGAGTGAGCATGCTGTTTGTCACGGAGGAAGGATTTAAAAATCTCAACTTCTTTTGACTTTTTTGGCAATCTTTTCTATGGATTTTTATATTATTTTCACGATAATTTTTTTTTTTTCAGTTGAATAAAGAGGTGCCCAATCTCAGACAGCAATACATACGTAACATATGTTTGCGTTTGAAAAAAAAAAAAAAAAAAAAAAAAAAAAAAAAAAAAAAAAAAAAACCGTGGACCATCACGAACCATAGGCCTGCCTTCGTCAGATATACCAATAGAAATGTAAGTTTCACCTTGTCAATTATCTCATTGTTGTCTCATTTTATGAGAGTTGTGTTTTCATGTCATGTCTAGTTTTTCCTCTAGAATTTTGAGGTCGATCTGGCTACATTGCCAGAAGGGGGGATTCATTTTACAACAGCCAGGCTCTATCCGAGCTTGGAGCCCCCCCCCCCATCCTTGCGCAGCATTGATCCAAGATTACAAAAATCAGTGTCAGTCCGCGTCCGGAAGTGAGCACTCCGTAAAATCCTTTTACCGTGCCGAATGTACACGATAATTAGCCTGACGGGTAACTAGTTTTCTCTGGCTTGGATGTGTCCCTCTGCTCTGAAACAGTCCCTCTTGGTGTTTTTGATGCTCTTATCTCACTCCTTCTCACACTGTCGTGCTAAGCAAAAACGCCGTATGAGCGTTCAGACGATGCTACATTTCCTTTGACGAATACGAATTTTTTGGAACATTTTTAAACATGTTTCTCTGATTTTTCAGGGGGTGTTTCTTGTGATTTAATCCATAGTATTGGAAAATTTCAAGAAAAAATATTAATATCTTTCTTTGAAAATAAATACTTTCTGAAATATTTTGCAACATTAGAATGCTCTTACGGCGTTTTTTCTTATTGAGGCAGCTTTGAACGGCTTTCCTCCCTCATTATCATGGGGGTGTGGGGCTAAAATATTTCACCCCAGTCCGACCGACTAAAGTGTTTCCACTCAGACCCGGTGGCGATTCCTTAAAGTTGGCAACACTTTCTTTCCTCCATTCGAATGTATATAAAGCAATTGATTCTTGGTGAGATACCATGCCTCATATAAAATTGTTATTTTTAATGGATTTAAATGGAGAAAAACAGCGTTGCTAACCTGCAAAATCGTCACTGTTCGGACCAGACAAAAAAAAATCAGTCCTTTTTCCTTTCTCCTCTTCTTTCTCATTTCTTCCTTCATTATCATTGTCTTTTATTCTTCCCTGTTCTCCTCTTCTTCTTCTTCTTCTTCTTCTTCTTCTTCTTCTTCAGAGATAACAATAAATGAATACATTATTTATATATTTGATGTTCCTTGAGAGTGACGAGACAAACCATGGTGTTTGGGTGATGTAACTTTTTTTTTTCAATTTATGAAGCCAGCCTGCAAAGTTTAAGTAATAGCTCAAAGCTCAGAGAGAGACACTGCTCCGCAGCAGCGTAACAATAGTAATTAAACGAAGGTATCCTAAAAACCGCAACTCTTCAAGAGAGTAATAGCTGGTTGATTGCGCCACGAATCCGTCTTTGGTGGAGGCATGACTAAAGCCACTTGCGCGTTTGCGTAAGAGAGGGGAGTCAATCTCACCGAAAAACCGCGAAATTAAAAGTGGAACTCAGATTCATACTTCTGAACGCTTGGTTTTGAATATTTGATCTGCTGTGAGTGCTACTTGCGGTTCCGTGCCTGAGATTGGTCTATTGAGCATGGGAGATGTAGCAAACCAAAGACTGACAACAAAGTAGACCGAATCAGAAATAATCGCAAGAAAATAACATTGAGCGTGTCAGGAAAATCCATCGGCGGATCCGGCAAATTGGCAACATTGCCTTTCCTCCATTTGAACCCATGGAAATTTATCGATTCTTGGGGGGGGGGCAGGTGCTCAGACAAGGATCGATTCCTTAGCATAGCTTTAAATGGAGAAAATCCGGTGTTGCCAATTTGTTGGGTCCGCCTCTCGAGACATCTAAAATTCATACCTAAACGTGCATTTTGACGGTGAAAGTCGGCAGTCACATAACTCGGTTTGCGACGTCGCAGACTTCCTGTCATACTTTATTTTTTAAACGGAAAACTACTCAACGGTAATTCTTTAAAACTGCCGTGATTTTTTTTCTATGTGCGAGGAAAATTCTGCAAAAACTTCAAGGAATCATGTCCATTTGTTCTCCTTTAAAAAAATAACATAGTTGCGGAGATTTTCAGACACCGCAAACGAGTTATGTGATTGCCGACTTGCACCGTCGNAAAAAAAAAAAAAAAAAAAAAAAAAAAAAAAAAAACACGGTCTTTGATAATCTTGACGGTGAAACTTGCAAATCTTGGTTTACGGCGTCGCAGATTTAGCATAAAACTTTATATGCTAAATCGGTCATTTCTTAAAACTTCCCCGAATTTCTCTTCCTGAGTGACGCATATTTCTTGACCATTTCAAGAAAAAGCTTTGGTTGTTCTCTTCTAATTAAATAAAATAAGAGCAGAGATTTCCCATGATTGTGAGGCATGATTAAGGCCTTATTCGTAGCCACTCCTTAAACTTTAAAGCCCCCTCAAGTCATCAGAATTAGACAGGTTAAGAATAAGTTAAAGCATAAGTAACGACTATGAAAACGCATCGGCCACTGGTCACTTGCTACAGTCCTTCTGCAACTTGATCGTATTTTGGCTGTCGGGATGTTTTCTTAAACTTGCGTTTAAGTCGCTAAACCATGCAATTAAGGGTCTTAGTCATTGGTACATTCTCAACATTATTGCCTCTCAAGTCTCAAGGATTGCATTGGTCAAGGAGGCTTTAACGGCCTCATCCATTTTTGGTTGTTTGCTTACATTTGCGTTTACACCCTCACACCATGCATTTACATGCATCTCTTATTTATGGTTGTACCCTTAAAAAATTGGGGCCTCCCAAGTCTCATAGGATTTAATTGGTCAAGGATTCATTAGATCCTTCATCCATTTTAGGTTGTTCTCTTACTCTTGCGTTTAAGTCCACAGGCAATACATTTTAGGGTCTGATTTATAGTTACACTCTCAAAAAATGAAAACTTCTTCAGTCTCAAGGATTTTATTGGGTGTAAAGGCCTTAATGCCTTCGGCCACCGCATCTTGTTTTCTTATCCTTTATTCGTTTAAATCCCCAGACAATGCATCTTGGTGACTCCCTCAAGAAATTAGGGCCTCTCAAGTATCAAGGATTATAGGTATTGGTTGTGGAAACTTAACATCTTTATACCCTCGCGTTCAAGTCTCCATATAAGTTTTCACTTTCCTTTAAGTTCCTCTCATTCATGTTCGCTCCTTTAACTTTAGGGCCCCCTCAAATCACGAGGATTACATTTAGCTAAGAAGTCCGAAACGACTATGAATAAGGCCCTAAAATGTCGAGTTCGGAGACTTGAACGCGAGGATAAGAAAACAAACTACACTGGCCGAAAGATGGTCATACAGGAGAATGAGTGTAACATGCGAGCAGTGGCCGTTGCGTGATATCAGAAGCGTCCTTTGATGACGATGACGTCACAGCGCTTTCTCTCGCCGGGAGATGCGCTGCCCCAGCCCCAACTCATTCTCATTCCGCGCAGGGCTCCGGGGTCTCCAAACAAATGCCATTGCAAGCACCTTGTCCTATACGTTAATCCTAACGTCAAAGGCGATCATAATCTCACGTGCGGAGGTTCCCATTCCATCCTCATTCACTCTTGCTCTCGGAAGAGGGGCTTTGTATTTGAAGCATATATTCCAAGCCTTATATTCATGATGGCCAAAGTGCGAAACTTCGTATCTCCGTTTGCGACGTTGCACACTTCCTTTCGTAATGTATTTTTTCCTTGAAAAACTTGGAAAATTTATTTTTTCCTTTGTATTTTAAGCATATATTCCAAGCCGTAAATTGATGGCCAAAGTGCGAAACTTCGTATCTCCGTTCGCGACGTTGCAGACTTCCTTTCGTGCTCTATTTTTTCCTTGGCAAACTAGTCGTTGTAATTTCTTGAAAACCTCCGTGATTTTTTATCTGGATTAGCAGAGTATTCTGTAAGAATTTCAAGCCATATAGTTGCCTTGTTTTTCTTCGAAATAATAATTAGGAGCGGAAATTTTGAAACGTGGTGATGGAGATTTTTTATTTCGCATTTTTGCCATCGATATGTCGTCACTTTCCGGCCAAAATATCACAAGCGCTATGCGACGTTTCAAAATTTCCGCCGCTTTTTTATATTTTTACAGAGAAATTGTTGGTTGAATCTGCTTGAAAATGTCACTGAATTTATTCGGTAGCACGAAGAAAATCCGAGCATCGGTGAAGAGATGGAGAGATGACAGCTTCCGGAGTATCTCTACCATGACAGATTCCTGTGGCGGGTAGGCGTCGCAGAGTGCCCTAGCGCTCCGTAAAACCGGCTTTTACATACGTACACAAGGAAAATTTAGTGAAATTTTCGGACAGCTTCGTTGAAAGATTTCTCTGTAAAAAAATAAAATGGCGGTGAACAGTTTGAAACGTCGCATTGCGCTTGTGATACTTTGGCCGGAAGGTTACGATGTACAAACAGGGGGTCTCGAGTTTCGAAGTTTTGAGAAAATCGTGTCCAAAGTTTTTAAAGTTTCGCTTTTCAATAAAAGGAAACCCGATGACGAATTTAGTCGGGAAAGACTCGTCTAATACATCTACCTGGAACAATTTACACACAAGTATATTTTCGTTCTGGAACGGATGGAGGAGAATTCCAAGATGAAAAATTGCAAACGTTTAAACTTGTTTGATTCATTATTTTTGGGAGATTCCAATGGCACCTAAGCCGTCATAAAAAAAAGAAAAAATTCCAGTAAGGTGTTCTGATGACTCGCATGTCATCAAGAATGGAAGGTGCTCCAGCTTTCCCGGTCCGTAATCCCCGCAGCGACGCAACTGCGACATACCCAAGACGGCGTCTTAACGCAACTATTCGTGCTCTATGGATGAGCGTGTCGCTTACTCAAAAAATGAAGGCGTTCCAGCATTCCTGGTCCACAGCAGCGTTAGACTGACTCGCTGATTTAAGCGACACAAAAGACAACGCATTGACACAACTATTAGTGCTCTATGCATGAGCGTCATGCATATGATCATAAAGGCACAAAGGGCACTTTTTGATGAACCTGAGAAAAATAAC